TGCCATTTAGAACAAAAATTTCACCACCAAAACTTTAGAAACACTTTAGAAGCAAAGCACCAGCTTTAGCAACACTTTAGAAGCAAAGCAACAGCGCCCCCTAGTTTTGTAAGTACTTTAGAACCATTTAGAACCATGGATTACCCATGCCTAATATGTATATCCTCTCCCTCTCCATATACAATTTTATACACACACACACACACACACACACACATATACACACACACAAACACACAAATAGATAATGCACATTTATTTATTTATTTATTTATCGATTTATTTGCAGTATTTATATTCCGCCCTTCTCACCCCGCAGGGAACTCAGGGTGGATTACACTGCACACATATATGGCAAAAATTCAATGGCATGGACACACAACATATATAGATAGACACACAGAGGCTATTTAACGTTCCAGCTTTTTCATGAGGGGGTTCTGGCCACCAGGGGAGCTGTCGCTTCACCATCCATTTGTGACACTGATGAAGTACTTTCTCATTCTTTGCAAGCTTGCTGGAGATTTTTATGGCATCATAAATTAACTTCCCCGCATAAGCAGTTCCTACATTTCCTACCTGACAGATGCAACTGTCTTTCGGGCTGCAAAGGTCAACAGCAAGCTACACAAATTGATTGGAAGCTCACTCCAACCCAGGCTGGCTTTGATCTCATGACCTTTTGGTCAGTAGTGATCTTAATGCAGCTGACTCCCAGCCAGCTGCGCCACACTCATATATATATATAATTTCTTTATTTACGACATTTATATGTTACCCTTCTCACCCCGAAGGGGACACAGAGCGGCTTACAAGATATATATACAAACAATATATTATATTACTAGCATACTACAATATCAGTATTATATATTACTATATTGTACTATACCATTACATATATAAAACTAGCCATCCCCTGCCATACGTTGCTGTGGCCGTCTGGTGATCTGGAAAATAAAGTAATGAGAAAATGTTGGTTTCTAATATATGTAATGTCTTTATGCTTGTGCTGATGTAGAGACTGTCTGGTTGGCCTACTCTGGAACATGCAACATAGATTTGTCCTTGTTTAGGGGTTCCTTTCAAATCTATTATACTATATCTATCTATCTATGGCTGGACGGCTCTTTGTCAAGAGGGCTTTGTTTACTTTTTTTTTTGTTGCCCTGGTGAAGGGAGTTGGACTGGATGGCCTTAAGTATTTTCTGTTGGTCATGGGGGTCTCTGTGTGGGAAGTTTGCCCCAATTGTCATTGGTGGGGTTCAGAATGCTCTTTGATTGTAGATGAACTATAAATCCCAGTAACAACAGCTCCCAAATATCAAGGTCTATTTTCCCTAAACTGGTTTTTGAGTTCTGTCAATCCCTAACATAACATATTTATTTATGTAGATTATATAGACTATACCATTATGTTATATCTATATAAATAAAAATGTAATGTTAGTTTGTGCTACCATCAGAACTCAAAAACCACTGTGGGAATTGACACCAAATTTGGACACAAGACACCTAACAGTCCAATGTATGTCCTCCACTCAAAAAAATGATTTTGTCATTTGGGAATTGTCATTGCTGGGATTTATAGTTTACCTACAATCAAAGAGCATTCTGAACTCCACCAATGATGGAATTGGGCCAAACGTCGCACACAGGGCTCCCATGACCAACAGAAAAAACGAAGGGTTTGGTGGACATTGACCTTGAGTTTGGGAATTATAGTTCACCCACGTCCAGAGAGCACTGTGGACTCAAACAGTGATGGATCTGGACCAAACTTGGCACGAATATTCCATATGCCCAAATATGAACACAGATGGAGTTTGGAGGAAATAGACCTTGACATTTGGGATTTGTACTTACTGGTATTTATAGTTCACTTACAATCAAGGAGCATTCTGAACTCTACCAATGATGGAATTGAACCAAACATGGCATACAAGACTTCCATGACCAACAGAACACACTGGAAGGGTTTGGTGGCCATTGACCTTGAGTTTGGGAGTTGTAGTTCACCTACATCCAGAGTGCACTGTGGACTCAAACAATGATGGATCTGGACCAAACTTGGCACGAATATTCCATATGCCCAAATATGAACACAGATGGAGTTTGAAGGAAATAGACCTTGACATTTGGGATTTGTAGTTACTGGGATTTATAGTTCACTACAATTAAAGAGCATTCTGAAACCCACAAACGACAGAAATGGGGCAAACTTCCCACACAGAACCCCCATGACCAACAGAAAATACTTAAGGCCATCCAGTCCAACTCTCTTCACCAGGGCAAGAAAATGTAATCAGAGCCCTGCTGTCAGAGAGCCATCCAGTCATAAATATAGATAGATATGATTCTCTCTCTCACACACAGATATAGTATCACAGATTTGAAAGAGACCCTTAAAGAAGGACAATGATATGTTCTCTACATGGGGTTGCCTTTGAAGACGGCCCGGAAGCTTCAATTGGTTCAACGTTTGGCAGCCATGATACTAACAGGAGCGGAGTGCAGGGAGCATACAACTCCTCTGCTGCGCCAGCTCCACTGGATACCAATTTGCTACCGGGCTCAATTCAAAGTGCTGGCGTTGGCCTATAAAACCCTAAACGGTTCTGGCCCAAGTTACCTATCCGAACTTAACTCCGCTTATGAACCCACCAGGACTTTAAGATCTTCTGGGGAGGCCCTGCTCTCGATCCCGCCTGCATCACAGGCACGTCTGGCGGGGACAAGGGACAGGGCCTTCTCAGTGGTGGCCCCTCGGTTGTGGAACGCCCTTCCCATGGACATTAGATCAGCCCCCTCGTTAATGGTGTTTCGAAGAAAACTGAAAACCTGGCTATTTGAACAGGCGTTCGGATAAACAGTGCAATGAATATAATGGATATAGGAAAACGGAATTACGGATGACGAGTTGGATCACGATTCTAGTTACGAGATGTTAATGTGTTGTTTATTGATGTGTAATTGCTTAGTATACTACAGTATTAATTGTTTTTAAATTGTGCATGTTGTTAGGATTGAATTTTTGCTCTTGTTGTTAACCGTGTTGAGTTGCCTATGGGCTGAGAAACTGTGGTATACAAATAAAGTAAATAAATAAAGTAAATAAATGTTGCATGGTCCAGAGTAGGCAAACCAGACACTCTCCACATCAACAGTGACAAAGAAACAACAAGAAATACTGTTTACCCACAAGCATAAAGGAATTACATAGATTAGAAACCAACACTTTCTCATTACTTTACGGTATCCTTCTGGGATGCCTCGCGGGAATGGGCCTTGGAGGTACTGCTTTGCAGTTTGACCACGGTATCCTTCTGAGACGCCTCGCAGAAATGGGACTTGGAGGTACTGCTCTGCAGTGGCTCCATTCCTTCCTGGAGGGTTGGTCTCAGAAGGTGTTACTGGGTGACACCTGTTCAACTCCACAACCGTTGTTTTGTGGAGTTCCTCAGGGTTCAATACTGTCCCCGATGTTATTTAACATCTACATGAAGCCGCTGGGGGAGATCATCCGGAGTTTCGGAGTGTGTCATCTGTACGCAGATGATGTCCAACTCTGTCACTCCTTTGCACCTGCTACTAAGGAGGCTGTCGAGGTCCTGAACCGGTGCTTGGCCGCTGTGACGGTCTGGATGAGGGCGAACAAATTGAAATGAAATCCAGACAAGACAGAGGTACTCTTGTTCAGTCGCAAGGCCGAACAGGGTATAGGGTTACAGCCTGTGTTGGATGGGGTCGCACTCCCCCTGAAGACGCAGGTGCGCAGTTTGGGTGTGATCCTGGACTCATCGCTGAGCCTGGAACCCCAGGTTTCGGCGGTGACCAGGGGAGCATTCGCACAGTTAAAACTTGTGCGCCAACTGCGCCCGTACCTTGGAAGTCTGACTTGGCCACGGTAGTCCACGCTCTGGTCACATCCCGTTAGACTACTGCAACGCTCTCTACGTGGGGTTGCCTTTGAAGACGGCTCGGAAGCTCCAACTAGTCCAACGGGGGGCAGCCATGAGTCTAACAGGAGCGGCGCAGGGAGCATACAACTCCTCTGCTTACCAGCTCCACTGGCTGCCGATTAGCTACGGCCCAATTCAAAGTGCTGGCATTGGCCAGTTTAAAGCCCTAAACGGTTCTGGCCCAAATATTTATGGGGGGGGGGGGCTTATTTTTTTTGTTGGTTTTTTTTTAGGTTTTTTAAAAAAGCTGGCTAAACGTTCTGGCCCAACTTTTTTTTTTCTAAAAAAAAATTAAATTTTTTTTTTTTTTTTAATATCTATCCGAACGTATCTCGGCCTATCAGCCCACCAGGACTCTAAGATCTTCTGGGGAGGCCTTGCTCTCTATCCCGCCTGCTTCACAGGTGCGGTTGGCGGGAACGAGAGACAGGGCCTTTTCTGTGGTGGCCCCGCGGCTTTGGAATGCCCTCCCTACAGAGATAAGATCAGCCTCCTCACTGATGATATTTCGGAAAAAACTAAAAACATGGATGTTTGAGCAAGCATTCGGCTAATCTGTCACGATGTTGTTTTTGACCAAGGACTGGCAATTACCGACAACGAATTGGATTGTGGTTTTTTACTTAAGAGATGCACTGGTCTGTATTGGTGGCCCAATACTGTGTATTATATATGTATATGTTTTTATATTTTTAATCGGAATATTGTTGTTTTAAATGTTGTTAACCGCAGTGAGTCGCCGTTCTAGGCTGAGATACTAGCGGTATATAAGTGTACCAAATAAATAAATAAATAAATAATACTTTATTTTCCAGATCACCAGACACACACATACTTATACTCCACAGAGAATGTATAGACACACATATGCTCAAATTGTGTCTACCTATTTTGTTATAGCCCATGAGACGTAACCTACCTTTCAGGCACTGTGTGCTCACTATCATTGGGTAGGCTAATAAGAAAACGCGAGGGAGCACTTTGTCCCCTCCCTCTCCCCGTAGCGAGTCCCGGCTGCGACTCCATTTCCCGGCATGCTCGGCGGCAGAGGCGGAGAACGGAAGCGAGCTCAGAGCGAGGCAGGCCCGCCGAGTCGAGGGACGACGCCTTCGGACGGGTTATTTTTTCGAAGCCGCGGGAAGGAAGGCATCAGCGGGCCCGCCGGAAGGGGCAGCTCGGGGTGGAGTGCCTCCCCTTCTGCTCTGAACCGAGGAGGAGCCATTTTGGTTTCCCCCAAGCGGGCGGAGGCAGATCCGGGCCTAGCAGGTGAGGCGGGCCCAGAGAGAGGCCTTGTGTGTGTGTGGGAGAGAGAGAGGGTTGGAGGAGAGGGAGGGAGGGCGCTGGGCTGCTGCTCCTGCTACTGCTTTATTGTCTCGCCTTTGTAAAGCCATTTTGCCAGGGAGGGAGCAGAATTGGCGCTTTTTGTGTGTGGAAGAGATCCATTCAGGAAGGGAGCCATGTATGTGTGTATGTGTATTTATTTATTTATCGTGTCAGGAGCGAACCAAACAGTTGTATTGCATTAAAAACAAACAGACAAACAAAACACAAAGTTTGCAAGCTTGGTAGTTGATTAAATGTCCTTTGACCAGTAGCTGGCCACTTGGAGTGCCTCTGGTGTTGCTGCAAGAAGGTCCTCCATTGTGCATGTGGCAGGGCTCAGGGTGCATTGCAGCAGGTGGTGTGTGTAAACAAACAGACAGACAAAACACAAAGTTTGCAAGCTTGGTGGTTGATTAAATTTCCTTTGACCAGTATCTGGCCACTTGGAGTGCCTCTGGTGTTGCTGCAAGAAGGTCCTCCATTGTGCATGTGGCAGGGCTCAGGTTGCATTGCAGCAGGTGGTGTGTGTAAACAAACAGACAAAGAAAACACAAAGTTTGCAAGCTTGGTGGTTGATTAAATGGACTTTGACCAGTAGCTGGCCACTTGGAGTGCCTCTGGTGTTGCCGTAAGAAGGTCCTCCATTGTGCATGTGGCAGGGCTCAGGTTGCATTGCAGCAGGTGGTGTGTGTAAACAAACAGACAGACAAAACACAAAGTTTGCAAGCTTGGTAGTTGATTAAATGTCCTTTGACCAGTATCCGGCCACTTGGAGTGCCTCTGGTGTTTATTATTTATTTATTTATTTATTTACCTTATATACCGCTGTTCTCAGCCCGAAGGCGACTCACAGCGGTTCACAACAAATACCAACAGCAAAAATTCAGTGCTACAGTATAGAAACAGTTAACAACCTAACACATTACACAATTAATAAACAGTTACTACAATACCCATTCACTGTCGTCTCGTCATCAAAAACATTTCCAGATTCGTCATCCATTGTTCCATTCCAGTGTTCATTAACCAATCATTGCACTAATTATTCGAACGCCTGCTCAAACAGCCAGGTCTTCACTTTTTGCGGAATACCATTAGAGATGGTGCTAGTCTAATGTCCGTAGGAAGGGCGTTCCACAGCCGAGGAGCCACCACCGAGAAGGCCCTATCTCTCGTCCCCGTCAGCCGAGCTTGAGAAGCAGGCGGGATCGAGAGCAGGGTCTCCCCGGAAGATCTCAAAGTCCTGGTGGGTTCATAGGCAGAGATGCGGTCAGATAGGTAGCTTGGGCCGGAACTGTTTAGGGCTTTAAAGGCCAACGCCAGCACTTTGAATTCAGCCTGGTAGCAGATCGGTAGCCAGTGGAGTTGGCGCAACAGGGGGGGTTGTATGCTCCCTGCGCTCCGCTCCTGTTAAAATCATGGCTGCCGAGCGTTGGACTAGTTGGAGCTTCCGAGCTGTCTTCAAAGGCAACCCCACGTAGAGAGCGTTGCAGTAGTCTAAATATGGTGGCCATAAGGAGAAAAATAAAATAATTATAATTTAAAATGAAAATAATGAGTAGTAAGGCTTACCTGTCCGTTCTTGAGGGTGGGAAGTAGAGATTTTGGTAGAAGAGAAATTTAACAGATGACTTAGAAAACTTTTAGGCTGGCTCTATCTTAAGTCAATATTTGAAGGAGCCAAGGCTAAAGGCTGAAGGCTGAGGTAGGAAACTTGGCTCATGAGTTAAATCGATATTATTGATTCGAAAACTAACATCTAAAGGTCATGTAGTAGTAGCGCCACCTCCTGTCTGGTTGATGAAAATAGCAGGCAATTTCATACACCTTTTTAAATGATCAACTGAGGAAAATAATGTATTGTGAAAGTAATTACAGAAGAATTAATAAGGGAAATGCTTGCTTTGAATAAATTAAAGATACATATATGAAGACATATGTATAAAGAGAAATATATGAAGTTATGATTCATTCTAAAGATTACGTAAGTCATCTGGGAACGTGGCTGGTCAGCTGATGAAAGGGGAGCAGTGGAAATTATAGTATCTTGCCAACAATTGTTCTTGGCCTCGGTTCCTTGAGGACAAATTGATATTGATTAGATTGTGTAAAAGTCAAGACCCATATGCGCATGTGTAAACCTGAGAATTTATGCTATAAATGCTGGAGCAAATCTGACTTCCAATGTGTGTCAGATATTGTTTTCTGAACACCCTGTCAAGCTTGATAGAATTAAAGGCCTGGAATCAGTTGCTGTCTCCTTTCTCTTCCTTCCTGATTGTGCTCGTCTGATCTCGGGTAACGAATCTTCCGCAACATAAACGTGTTGCTATAAGAAGGTCCTCCATTGTGCATGTGGCAGGGCTCAGGCTGCATTGCAGCAGGTGGTGTCTGTGTGTGAAACTTCACAATTCAGCAGCAGATCAGTTGCACAACTTCAGCGCTTTCCAGTAGCTTCTTCCTGCACAGTATTTTCAGTCAACTGCTTCCACAGCCTGCAGCCACGCTGGAACCTTTTAGAGACACTTGAGCACATACCCGGCCATTGTTGGTTTTACCATTGTCTTTCCCCCAGTCTAGATGATATTACAGACTTACCACAGCACACAGTTATCTTTTGTCTTAGCAGACAGGTTCTTTTAATTACATATAGCCTTCGACGAACAACATCACAGCACAAGGAGAAATATACACTGTACATGACTTCCTTATATACAATTCATTTACACATAGCAATCACCGATTGGTTCCCAACTCATTGACTCAACTCAAACCCAGGATTGCATCATTCACAATCACCTGGACTAGGCCAGAACACATTCCCCAAATGATTCCCTATATACAATCAATGCATGACTCAGCATTACCAATAGAAACCCATTAGCAGTGCATGACTCAGCTATATTACATTGCAAAACCTGACAATATATATCCTATACATATTCTTCCTCTCTCTATATATATCAGGCATGGGCAAACTTGGGCCCTCCAGGTGTTTTGGACTTAGGAATTGTGGGAGTTGAAGTCCAAAACACCTGGAATGGTGCCTTTTATATATATTCTTATAATATATATATATATATATATATATATATATATATATATGTTTCTCTCTATACAGGAAAGGCCCCGACTTACAGACAAGATTGATTCCTTAACTTAGTCCTGAAGTTAAATTTGTATGTAAGTCAGAACATTATTATTGTGTAAGGGGAAAGAACGAGCCCCCGCTGGCGCAGTGGGTTAAACCCCTGTGCCAGCAGGACTGAAGACCGACAGGTCGCAGGTTCAAATCCGGGGAGAGGCGGATGAGCTCCCTCTATCAGCTCCAGCTCCTCATGCGGGGACATGAGAGAAGCCTCCCACAAGGATGATAAAAACATCAAATCATCCAGGCGTCCCCTGGGCAACGTCCTTGCAGACGGCCAATTCTCTCACAACAGGAGCCACTCCTGACACGTCAAAAAAAAAGAGGGGGAAGAACCTAGGGAATGCCGTCCCCCACTCAGGGAACTTGCCGGGAAGCTATTTGAGATCACCGCAGGAGTCCAGACAGTTAGAGCAAAACACAGGTTTATTTCTACTGATCAGTGAGAAAGGCAGACAGACAGCGTACATATGGTAATGCCGATCCCAAACTGCCGCGCCCTAATGGTACAGCTGAGAAGCTTATATACCCTGAAGCAATCATGAAGCAAGCATGCCTTGGTTAATGACAATGCTGGATGGATTATGGATTTATGAATTGGCGAACATTGACCACAAGATGATTTTATTGCTGCTATTGTATTAATTTGATTGTTTTAACTAGTTATAACTGTTGTCGTTATATTGTATTTTGTATATTGTATTAAGTGAACTGTTGGGCATCGAATTGTGCCTTTTGTAAGCTGCCCTGAGTCCCCCCTAGGGGGTTGAGAAGGGCGTGGTAGAAGCACTCCAAATAAATAAATAAAACAAATTAATCATCCTGTTTGTCACAGGAGTCACACCATCACCAAATACGGCATGCCTGCCCCAGGCACCTACATTATCTCCAAATATGGTACGCACGCAGCATGTATGCCTGAAGCACACAGTATCTCCAAATATGGCATACCCTCTCAATTGTTGCACTAGAGCCCTTGAAACACCTTTTCACCACAAACCACTCTGTCCTGGAAATCCAATAATAATAATCATCATCATCACCATCATCTTTATTTATACCCCACCACCATCTCCCCAAAGGGGACTCGGGGCAGCTAACATGAGGCCAAGCCCAAAGATACAGCCCAACAAAATAAAATGCAGAATGTAGACAACAAAAAAATTACATCAAAATAAAATATGTACAGTAGCAAAATAGGATAAAAAAATTAACACAATATAAAATTGAACAGAATGGACAGGCCAAATGGAGGAGGTAACATGATAAAACCCTGGATGAGGTAGGAAAGAAAATACATAATTAAGGGGAACCCAAAAAGAATAAACAGTGCGGGTAGGCATTCAGTTTAGGATGGGGGAAAGTGCATCATGGGGCAACACTATAGATGGAGCAAGGAAAAATGGGATAAATGGTCATTCTCCAAAGGCACATTGGAAGAGCCAGTAAGTAGAAGTTTATTTAAAGAAGGGCATATGTATATAGAATAAAAAAATTCAAGTTATTTCCAAGATAGCTGTGAGTCCAAAATCCTTTCAAATACTGTTTCCAGGGTAAATCCATAAATATATCCATAAACAAGATAGTATGAATCCAAAGCAGGCAACCCATGCCACACCGAACTAGAAGCAAGAACAAACTTGAAAACTTGATTACCTGAATTCCAAGAACATAGGACCAAAAACCAAGAGCTGTTTGCCTGAATACATTTCTCTCACAAAGGATCATACCAGTAGGAATCACTTTAAAAGACCTCAATCTCTCCCATAACATCATTTCTCACACACCTGCTTTT